CCCCTTTAGTTCCTACTGATACGTTTTCAAGGGGTAATTGCAAAAAAGAGCCAGTTTGGTGCAATGATAGCTTTATTCACTCTTCAAAGTAGACTGTGGATGTACACAATGACAAATAACTACATATCCAGACCTTTGTATACCCAGCTTATGTGTATTATGAGAGAAGTAAATGGCATAATTTGCACATTGTATTAAGTTTGTTTTTTGTAGCTTTAGTCCATTGAATAAGTCACAACTGGCTGATTTAACACAGCACTAAGCCATAAGCCATGCTTTATAAATTACAATTTCTGGCTTTGTATAATGCTAAGCTAAAGCAAATCACATCATGATTTTATCTAATGGTAAGTTTCTGCAATATTTTTATTGGAAGATGCCCAGTTTAGGTGGGGAAAAGGTGTGATTGGGCTTACATTGGGTTCTCATCTAATGTTATAAAAGTAAAACTGGATTATAATTTCTACATGTGGAAGATAGGAAAACCTATAGTTTTAAATATAATTATAAAGTGCTGGAAAATAGATGTTGAAATAAGATTTTTTTTTGACAAATATTTTGAAATTCCTAATATTTTCTGTTTTTTTCTGATCAGCCATATAACTGTTGCCTAATTATTAGTAGGAGGCCTTGTTCTGCTATTTTTTTCTTTCTTTGATTGGAAAGAAGAATGATAAACCTCTTTCAAACTAGATGTATATATTACATCTTTGGTGCTATTTTTGCTTTTACTAATCTCACTTTCTACCTGTTGATTTAGAAATAGTGAATCCAAAGCCAATTTATGCATAGAATAGAATTCATGCTTTTTCTTCATGACACTTCCATGTTGAATATGCATATTTTATAACATTTCATAACATGTATATTTGAATGTTTATTCTATTTAATAAGGAGAAAATATGAGTTTGAAAAATTAATATAAGCATGATATCAATATTCCTACAAGTAGATAAGCATGGTATGAGTCATTCTCTAAATTTGATAGCATAGCACTCATGGCAGAAGAACCAAGGCTTCTGGGATGAAAGGATTAGCCTGTGACAACACTGTTGCCTGGGAGATGCCCAATTGGGGACTCCTTTCATGTCTCTGACAGCAGCTAGAGCAAAGGACAGGAGCACAACACCACCCCACGGCAGCACTTGGGTCTCAAATGTGGGCTTGCTAATCTCCTACCTAGAATCCTAGCCACATGAACCACCATGGTCCTTTCTAAATTGGATATAAATAAATGATATGTGGTTGCAGGCAAACTCTGCCCACAGCCAGGAGTTCGATCCTGACAGGCTCAAGGTTGACTCATCCTTCCATCCTTTTGAAGTTAGTAAAATGAAGACTCAGGTTGTGGGGGGCAATATGCTGACTATTGTAAACCATTCAGAGAGTGCTGTATAGCACTATAGAGCAGTATATAAGTCTAAGTGCTATTGCTGTTGTTATTTCTTTCAAATAGCATTGACATTACATGCATATACTTATAAAACAGTTCTTTCTTAGTAAATATGTTTAGAATTGCAGTCTTGTCCTCTTAATCATTCTGCAGTGAACTAAGAATAGATATTATGCTGCAGGATATGTTCGCTTGTCAATATTTTCTCACTGTTGTTCAGGTTCATGGTAGTGATGCTTTGCATAAAAAGTTCCCAGGCTGAGCCCTTGCATATTGAAGACTCTTGTCAAGAATCGGGAGAGACACACTCAGCTAGAATAAAATCATAATGTCCTGATGCAGGCAATGTGCTAAGTCATAATATAGTTTAGGTAGCTTTGACAAACAATTATGCTTTATTCAATAAATCATGGCTCATGTACTGCTTGAGCCTAGCTACTAAATGAGATTGTCCAAGAGCACAAAGAGAAGGACCTATATAGGAAGTTCATGTATATAATTGTGATATACTACTTAACACTCAAGGTTGTAGGCTGAGTACAAATAAAAGTGGTAATACATTAATATAGCAAGAGATTGAGATCACAAAATAATAAAAATATTGTGCCAAAACCAGGGGGCTAAAATATATAAATAAATAAATAAAATATAAAATAAAATCTGCTTACAGACAGGAGGTTATACAACTTGCCTCGTGGTGTAACCGGAACAATCTGGAATGAACACACTCAAAACCGTAGAAATGGTGGTAGACTTTAGAAGAAACCCTCCCATACTACCACCTCTTACAATACTAGACAGCAGTAGAGACCTTCAAATTTCTAAGTTCTACTATATCACATGACCTAAAATGGACACCTAACTTCAAAAACATCATCAAAAAAGCACAACAAAGAATGTTCTTTCTGCGCCAACTCAGAAAGCTCAAGTTGCCCAAGGAGCTACTGATACAGTTCTACAGAGGAATTAGTCTATCATCTGCACCTTTATAACTGTCTGGTTTGGTTCTGCAACCCAACAGGACAGACACAGACTTCAGAGGATAATTAGGACTACAGAAAAAGCAATTATTACCCACCTGCCTTCAGTTGAGGACCTGTATCTGCACGAGTCAAAAAGAGGGCTGTGAAAATATTTACAGACCCTTCGCATCCCGGACATCAACTGTTTCAACTTCTTCCTTCAAAACGACGCTATAGAGCACTGTACATCAGAACAACTAGACACAAGAATAGGTTTTTTCCAAAAGCCATCACTGCTAAACAAATAATTCCCTCAACACTGTTCAACTATTTACAAAGTGTACACTACTATTACTGTTAATCTTCTCATCACTCCTTATCACCCCTCCCCTCCCACTTGTGATTGTAGGACTGTAACTTTGTTGCTTGTATCCTTACAATTTATATGGACTGTTTCCTAGTATGATTTGATTGTACCCTATGACCATCATGATTCTTGATTCTTAACGAATGTACCTTTTCTTTATGTATACTGGGTATAGAGTATTTACACCAAGACAAATTCCTTGTGTGTCCAATCACACTTGGCCAATAAAGCTATTCTATTCTATTCTATTCTATTCTATTCTATTCTATTCTATTCTATTCTATTCTATTCTATTCTATTCTATTCTAGCCACCAAAGGCCCTCCAAAAGAATGGTTTTGTACAGCTCTCCAGAATGTCATGGAAGATATAATTTATAACATATGAAAGATATCCCTTTATCTTGGAAGAGTTATTCTGTAGGAGGGAATGCCTTCCAGAGAACATTCTTTGCAATTCACCTCTTGATTAGTGGGGGGTGCGGGGTACTCTCTGTTCACCCAAGTTAGATAAGCAGAAATTTTTTGGGAGGTAGTCTGAGAAATATTCCAATTCCAAGCCATATAGGTAATAATCTGATTCAATCATTTTTTTCTAAAGTCATGTGTCATGTGACAATGCAACAATTTTCCAATCAGGATACTTTTGCATCTGCAAATAGGTCTTTAAAATTAACAGTATGCAAAATGAATTACAGAAATCCATGTTCAGGATGATGAAGATAGGCAAGGTTTGGCTATCATAATTTTTTGTTCTCGTGAATGCCACAACTAATACCGCAAAGGTTGTGCTGATGAATGCCACAACTGAATCTGGGCAAAGGTTGTGCTGTCACAGATTCTACCTGTTGTTCAGTCAGAAACTGCAAATCCGGGAAAATCCCCAGGTTGCAAATTCTCCATTGGAAGCCTTTTGCCACTCAAGTTGATATGTGTATCTAGCCCCTGTATTGCACTAAGATGAATAAATTAAAATGTCCCTAGACATTATCTATATTAAGCCTCAATAATCTAATATAGAGGTAGTCCTTTATGTACTATTCTGGGAATGAGTAAGTCTCATTCATGGAATTTATTTTTGAGTAAGACATGTTTTGGCTTCAATGCAATCCCAGTATAACAGAATTACAGTACAGGGAAAGCAAATGATTGCTTCTGTTAAGTTGATGGTAGACGGTGTTAGGCACCTTGCTTTATCCAGTTGGGTTTGTATAGGAAAGAAAACTGTCATTCATTTTAACTGACTACTATACCAACAGGAAAGTCAACATTTAAATAACAGTATCTGTAATTTGGTATGTTTACTGTGATCAAGTGGCAGAAACTTGGCATGCTAAATTTATCCATGCATAATAGATTGGACAGTGTAGCTTTCTCAGAAGAGAAGGAAAATCATTTTGTAGTAGAAATGGAGTATAATAGGATGGGAAAGAGAACACAGATTTTAAAAGAAGTCATAGAAAAGAATGGAACACTAGTGTAGTGGATTATTTTGAGACATGAGTGTGTGCTCTTGTTGATTTCTTTTGGAGCTGCATTGTAATTTTGGGTATTACTGATATAAGAGTTAATACTGTAACATTTTAAAACTACACAATGTATAGGGTGGGATTCCACAAGCTCTGTTCCCTATAGGAATTTGGACTTTAGTTCCCATAGTTCTCAGCAATAGCCATACTCAGGACTATCCATGCTGGGAAATTTTGAGAGTCCTCAAAATTGTCTTAACCTTTTTGCTGTCTTGCTGGTATTGTATAGTTGCTAACTTTAATGCTTTGCTGCTACACAAGATTTAACTGACAATAGGTAGATGTACCAACTTCTAGGTGACTTTCACTTTTTCAGTTATGAACATTTACTTTGAAGTCCAAAAAAGTGATCCTGTTAATATTCCTATTAACCAAATAATTACCTTGAAGAAACCTAGTCACTGCATTACTGGAATTAAATCTGTGCATTGATTATATAGTCATCCAATAGAAGGTAATGGAGAAAAGGTTAGGTTGTTTGGAGGGAGAAAAATTAGATAATTTAAAAAGTCAAGGAAAATGGTTGTCTTTAACTCATATCTGGAGTGGGGGAAAAGATCATCCAAAAACTAAAGCAGTTAATGTTAGCCACTGGTTCTCTTAGCTAGCATTCTTGAAAGAATTGCAGAGATTGTGTGGTTATAGAAAAGTCCTTACTATCCTGTGTTAATAAAGCAACTATTTCATTATAGATGTATTGATAAGCTTCTCCTTTGTTCTTTCTCCCCCTTTTCCAGATTAACTCTGAAAAATGTCCTTTGGGAGAGATATGGAGCTGGAACACTTTGATGAGCGTGACAAAGCACAGCGGTACAGCCGAGGGTCACGGGTGAATGGGCTCCCTAGCCCGACCCATAGTGCCCATTGCAGTTTCTATCGAACCCGCACCCTACAAACCCTCAGCTCTGAGAAGAAAGCCAAAAAAGTCCGTTTCTATCGCAATGGGGACCGATATTTCAAAGGGATTGTATATGCCATATCTCCTGATCGCTTTAGATCTTATGAAGCTTTGCTGGCTGACCTGACCCGAACTTTGTCTGATAATGTCAATCTGCCCCAAGGTGTGAGAACCATCTACACTATTGATGGAGCAAAGAAGATCACCACTTTAGACCAACTTGTGGAAGGTCAGTTTTTAAGCAAGGGATGCAAGGGAGAGTTGCACCAAAATCTTCCCATTTAAATAGTTCATTATTCTATTCATGATCTCCTTTATGATTCTCCATTTCATCCCTCCTTTTGTCTCAGCGTAGCAATCTTTTATGGTTACTGAGCATCATACTCCTTTTTTATTTTTTTAATATTCCTTCATTTGGGAGAAGGTTCAACAGACATAAAGGTTCCTAGGCTTGCTGAACTTTTCTGCTTTAATATGGGGGTGGAAATATTGTTTTGGCCACATTAATAAGAACATTGTATCAGCTAAAAGAGAAATTATGGTATAGTAATGAGTATTACACGTACAGCTTCTCTACCCTTTTGGGCCTCGTTTTGTTCTATATTGGAGGAAACAGCAGCAAATGAGTCATAGTGCAAGGAGTTTTTCCACATAAAATGATATTTATGAACACGTCTAACACTGGCTCAGCTTCCTGTCCCCCCTGATTTTCTCTTTCTTCAAAGAATAAATGGATGGATAGCAGCCACACAAGTAAGTTCTGGCTTTCTCTCTCTCTCTCTCTCTCTCTCTCACACACACACACACACACACACACACACACACTTTGAGGGATCAGGAAACAAGCTCTTTGCCTTCTGGAGAATGACTGAAATCAGCATGGCAGTCATTTTGTGAATAGTTGGTTCTTCCATGATAGCTATTTTTTAACACCCTATGTTACCTTCCTCTTTTTTAAACATAAAGATACCTAACTTATGAATTCAAATATGGCAGTTTCTATAAATTACATTTAACAAGCCTCTCCTATTTTGGTTTTGCAGAAGTTATTTTTGGATTTTTCTTATTACCTATGCAATTTCTAAACTGCTTACATAAAGCAGTTGGGAATAAAGTTTTAAACATTAGCAGAATTTATTTCTAAGTTGATATAAGATTTTTGTTTGTCTAGTTATATATTTCAAAACAGAGATGGAAGCCTCTGGCTTTAGATCCGGCTAAACCTCAGCTTCACGCAGCCCTTGTTATTAGGCATACGGAGATAGGTAGTCCTCAAGTTACGACCACAATTGAGCCCCAAATGTATGTTGCTAAGTGAAACATTTGTTAAGTGAGCTTGCCCCTTTTTACGACTTTTCTTGCCACCGCTGTTAAGTGAATCACTGCAGTCAAGTTAGTAACATCGTTAAGTGAATCTGGATTCCCTATTGACTTTGCCATAAGTGTGAAAAATGGGCATAAGTCACCTTTTTAAAGTCCAGTTGTAACTTTGAACAGTCACTAAATGAACTGTTTAAGTCCAGGACTACCTGTATGTATTCATGGAGACTATAATTCATCAACTCCTGGAAGGTGATATGGTCTTTGTTCGTTTTTATAAAAATGTCATTGGGCATTAAATCTGAAATTCCAGTTTAGTAATACTAGCATGCACTGTACATGATTCAGATAGTAATTTCCATGCCCAGAGGTGGTATTCAGCAGGTTCTGACCAGTTCTGGAGAACCAGTAGCGAAAATGTTGAGTAGTTCAGAGAACCAGCAAATACCACCTCTGACTGGAGATTTTACAGTATCCTTCCCCTGCTACACCCATAGAACCGGTAGTAAAAAAATTTGAATCCCACCACCAAAGAATGGCAATTCATTTGCCCGGTTCTTGATTTCATTAAGTTGTTATATTTATCTGGCTAGTTATCTGATTTTGTAAACATCTTATGGCAAAGTAAAAGCATACAATATCTTTATTTCTGATTTGTATAGATCTTGTAAACCAAATTCTATCTAAATTCATATATTTAATGGGTATAAATTAAATCATTCTTCCATGGATATTTTTTGGGCAGTTATCATTGCTGAAAAGTAAGTAAAATTGCCATTGATTTAAAGCTTCTCTTTTCAAGGCTTAACATTTCAAATACTCACACTTTTCTTCTTGGAACTTTGATTCTAGTCATTAGTCATCATATTATTCTCTGAACCCATTCCATGAAATGAGCAAAGCAAACTAAAGTGGAAGTATTATTTTCTGGGATTTGGAAACAATTTTAGCCTAAAATTCCATTAGTCCTTTTTCACAATATTCAGTTTGTAAGCATTTAGTATTCCAAGATCTTTTTTGCAAAAACTATTAGCAAGCTAGATAGCCATCTTCCTATACCATGTCTTTTTAATTTGTTTCCTAAGTCAAGAGCTTTACAACTGATTCAGTTAAATTTCGTTTAGTTATTTTCAGCCAATTTCTTTTGCATAGCATAACATTGTGTTTGTTTTTTAAACTATTAGTTGTTGTACCCACTTTTGTCATCTACATGCTTGTTAAGAACTCCTTCCACCTTTTCATCCAATTCAGATTAGAGTTTCAAGACTAAATTTAGATTTTTCTTCCAGTTTGTGAAAAAAATAACGAGGATACTTTCTTAAGGATTTCTCTAATAATTCCCTAACTACTTCTCATATCCTAAGCGGCAATTAATCTGTCTCCAATATTTTAGCAATTTATTAATCCACTTTTTGCAGGATCTATTTAGCACTTTCACAGCAAAACCTGAGTTTCAATAATTAAATCAAAATACAGGTGTAACTGTGAATATGTAAGGGCTAAAGAGAATTTAATAAAACAAGTAATAAAAACTAAGTAGTGGGAAACATTTTATTTGCAGGAGCAAAAACAGTTTAAAATTCTGGCAAGAGTAAACAGATTTTGCAAAAGCAAATTATAGGTGCGAGATGGAGAAATTCTATGGCTTTCTAGCACCTATTAGAAGCAGTCTAAAATGATTCAGAGACTTTGATAAATGAAGTTATCAGCTGCTGTTTAGAAGTCATGTTTCTACTACATTTTGCAATTAACTCCTACTGTACTATATACCAGAATCTAGGTCTCATCTAGATGTCTTACTAGATTCAGTTCTACTTTCATAAAGTACTAACCTCATTTTTAAAATATTTTAATAAAAGTTTACAGATACAGAGATAAACTAATACAAACTAAAAAAATGCAGGGAAAATAAAAAATAAAGATGTATTATGAAATGACTTTGCCTTTTAACTGGACAAGTAGAAACTTTTCACTTTCTCTGATGCTACCATAAAAAATCCCTTCCTATATTTTATCTCTTATTCATAAATCAATAAACTTGTCACTCGACCCTAATCAGAAGTCCATTAAGAGCTACAAAAGCAGCAAAACATATTTTAACCTTGATCAATTAAGCCAACTTTACATTTTCCTTTTGTTTTTTAAGAATCTTGATATTTAATCTGTTTAAAATGTCCCACAGTTGATTTCACTTCTCAAAAAAAAAATCTTCAATTGTTTAACACATCGTTTGTAAATCCAAGGTAAGAAAGACATTCATGTCATTCTTCTGATTATATGACCCTTTTAATTACTAGGACATCAGCCAGTTTCATTTGTAAATCCATTGCTGCATGTTTTTCCATATAATTGTAAATTAGCATTTTTAATTCTACAATTTTATGATAGTAGGCAGCCTTAAAAATATCTTCTGAATGCGTTGTTCCCATAAATTCTTCCATATTTTGCTTCATTGTGTATTAGTCTCTTTTCCTTTAACAATAATCATTAGTATTTTTCTGGTTCCTTCTAATTGCTCAAATTCAGTGTTCCTTCTATTTTTTTTTCTAATCAACATTTTTCCATGGGAAGGTTTCAAAATCTTCATCTATTTTTTATAGAATTTTGAGACCCTATTTCTCAAAAATTAAGGCTGTTTATAAACAGTAAGTTTACAACTTTCCAAACCCAATGTTCTAAGCATGGTTTTGCTGTTTATTCTAAAATAAGAATTTTTAAAATTCCTACATAAAAATTATTTCACCAAAGATAAAAGGAAACTTATCTAGTATAATGAAACTTGCTTTTTTAAAAAAGTTCCTAATATACAAAATTTCGTTAATAAACAATTTTAGGCAGTGATTAAGAAAGGAAGTATGTTCTTTTGAAGTCTCCAAACTGCAGCTTGGGCAAAGATGGCTCTAAAATCTGTAGCAGACCATTGACTTAAGTCGCCTGATGAGGATCCACAGTACAGAGCACTTCTGAGCAATTCCAAGTCATCTCCTTGCTCCAGAGAAGAATTCTGAGGAGATTATTTGTTTTCTACCTCCTTGCTCCAACACAGTCATTGGCTCCAGTGAGAGTGGAGCCATTTTTAGTATTCCATTGCTTCCTAGCTAATCAAAAACTACTAACTTCATAATACAGTCAAAATACAGGGAAAGCATCATTTGAGATTTTACGCCTCTTGAGTTGCTAAAAACTAATGTTAAATGGTGTGCTCCCAACTTTTTTTTTTTTGGAACATATTTAGCTTATGGCTAATATCTGTAAAGAGGTGAGCATGTAATTATTATTCCATTTTCCAGTCCCTTTAAAAGAAGGGACAAACTGATCTAATTATACACCAAATAAGTTACTAGGTATTATCAGTTAGTCCTATACAAGACTTGGGAATTATTAGATTGATTTGATAGAGTGAGCAACAAGAAAATATTAGGGGCAGGCAACTCTGGATCAAATCATTTGTGCAAAACTATAAAAATTACATCTTCCATAACATGAATTTGAAGTGTTTGTTCATAGGTTTCAAATCCATCCTTGATTTGATTTCTAGAGTCAGATATTGGAACAACTCTCTTACTATAAGTGTTTGCTGTTACTTATATTCAACAGTTAAATGCAATTCTGTTTTGTCATTAAATCACGTTTGTGTTCTTGTACCAACAGTTCACACTCACCTTTATTTTCCATACTCTAAAGATTAAGATGGTTTGAAACCATAGCCAATGAACCTTATGATCTTTCACTATATGGTTCAGCAGGTTTTATTACAACAATATTTCCATTTTCTTCCTGTCTGCAGTCTTATATCCAAGGTTTATTCTTCAGGATTTTTGCCTCCAAGTTCACAAATTCAGTTTAAGCCCTTCTGATCCAGCTCACCATGCTTAATAAATGCCAAACATATTTTTACCAGCAGTCTACTAATGTTCTGTGTAATTCAGACCTAGATTTCAACCTAGAAACCAAATATCTGTCTACAACTTTTTTGAAGTCAATCAATGATCTGTAGTATTAAATCTTTATCTCTGCAATACTGTTCTATGGTTTGGAAAAATAAATTAAAACATCAAGAATCTAGAACTTACTAGAGTAGACTTTCAAATAATATATATTGTAGCTGTTGTCAATCTCATTAGTTCCCACAGAGATTAGCAGGAGATGGCAATTAACAATGGATTTAATAAGAATTGGAAATACCCTTAATCCATGTTTGTGTCAGCCAACAATCTGCATGAGCTGGTAGATCTGGCTAATATACATTTGTCGCTGTTCTTGTGTAACCAATATTGTGATTTCCTTTTGCCTTCTTGAAAGCTAGTTGTGTATACTCTGTTCAGACAGACAGACAGACAAACACATCCATCCATCCATCCATCCATCCTCATTTTCTGGTAACCTCTGTTTGAGCAGGCAAGAGTTTATTTCTTTTTGTTTCATTTTTAGATTAGCTAAATGTATATTGTTTACTAAGAGTTTAAAATGTTTAAGCAGTTGAACCCCTCTCTCCAGTGGTAGACTGCAATTACCCTTCCCTGTTTATTTGTGTTGTGAGCTTGCTCCTTGGATACTGGCTGCCATTTATTGTTCCTATTTTTAGGAAGCAGTTATTCAGATTACTCACAGAGTAGTGTCTCTCACAACACACACTTTTTTGTCAGCAACTTTTTAGGACATTGCCTTTTGTCCTTGGTAAACACGGAGTTTTAGGTCTCTCTTTCTCTCTCTTGCTTGTCTCTTTTCCCTGCCAAAGTTCTATGAACTTTTTCAATGTTAATGTTAATCTTTTAAATATGCAAAAAGTCTATGAAGAGTTAATGTTAGATATGTAGTGTGATTTAAAGAACAGTTTCTGCTAAATTGGAGATCTATTCAAGGGTTATTTATTCTATGTATATACATAGAACATAGAGCATCATCAGAGTTGGTAGGGGATTGGAAGTTTTCTAGTCCAACCCCACAGTTCAAGCAGAAATTTCTACACCATTTCATGCCCAGTCTCTTCTTAAAAGCCTCCAGTGACGGATGACCCACAACTTTTGAAGGCAAGCTGTTGCATTGGTTGATTGTTCTCACTGTCAGGAAATTTCTTCTTAATTCTAGATTGTTCCCCCCTTGGTTAGTTTCCACCCATTGCTTCTTGTCCTGCCCTCAGGTGCTTTGGAGAATAACTTGACTCCCTCTTCTCTGTGATAACCCCTGAGATATTGGAACACTGCTATCATGTCACCTCTAGTTTTTCTTTTTACTAGACATACCCAATTCCTGCAACTGTTCTTTATATATTTAGCCTCCAGTCCCCTAATCTTCTTTGTTGCTCTTCTCTGCACTCTTTCTAGAGTCTCAACATCTTTTTTATATTGTGATGACCAGAACTGGACATAGTATTCCAAGTGTGGTCTTACCGAGGCCTTATAAAGTGGTACTAATACTTCACATGATCTTGATTCTATTCCTCTGTTACTGCAGCCTAGGATTGCATTGACTTTTTGGTGGGTGTAGCACACTGTTGTGCTGGCTCAAATGTAGGTGATTGTCTAATAGGGATCCAAGATCCCTCCTCTTCAGTGAATTTTCATCTGTTAAAATATACTCATTGTATAATATTTGTAGCCTGTATGAAATGTACTGCAACATATAATGTATATTTTTATTTTGTATAGGTATGTTGTTATTAATCAATAGAAATAGTTTTATCATAAAATAAGATAGTTATTGATAACTAATTATCTATTTTATAAATCTTTATTTTTGGCAATGTTTATCTTCAGTTGAATTCTTATTTGTTTAGAATTTTAGCTTAGATGATTATGTTTTTACTGAACATTGATTTTATCTTGATTGGAGGTAAAAACCCACATGCTGCAAATTCTAATACATTTTGCACCTAGGTGCAATTCAGAGGTTGACTTCCAAAGACCTATAAGGCTCGACCTTGGCATGCACAAAGGCAGGGGTTCTGAAACAGCCCTTTAATAAGGCTAAGTAAATGCATATGCCCCTTCCCAAAATAAAAGGAATGGCTTCATTCAAGTTGGGATTGGATAACAAAACAATGTGCCTCTTACTTTTGATATTATATTTTAATTTATATTTCCCAAGATTTCTCAAACTTTGCAGTACCATGACTGCTCCCTTTGAACTTGTACAGGCAAAACAAAGAGGAAAATCTAGTTGTGATCTCTGGTCCTGTTTTTAAGAAAGCTTGCAATTCTGTCTCCCCACCTTTAATTTTTGGTGACCCCTGTTTGACTACATTAAATTAAGGGAAGAACAAAAGTATAAACCCATATAACTGACATGCAGTGGAATAAACTATCCTTCTTATTCCTTAAAAGTGCAGTCCCCCAAAGAAAGATCCTGTTCGGTGACTTTCGTTCAATGTTTACATGAAAGTTGGGAGGGGGATAATTATATCTGCTTTAAAAACAATGCCTGATACTTTCTGCAGCTGATCCATCATGTACTATTGGAGAATCTTAAGTATGTTAGGGCAATTGTTGAATTTTAGGAATCTACAATGATTTAGCATAGGTTAGCATAGACCCAGCAGAGATTTTAGAATACATTTATATTCCTTTTCCAATGGTTGCTGTTTGGTCACTTGAGCGCTAATATAAAAGCAAATATAAAAAAACAAACCTTTATTTTGGAGATTTTGAGAAGTAATGAAAAGAAGCCTAAATTCAGCCATTTTTATTGTCAATATATCTAGTGATACCAAACAGATTCATTTAGTGGGATAAAATAAGATGCTCACTATCATGCAATTTAATTGCTTTGAAGAGCACTGTAGGGTATCAATACCACATCATTTAGGAAACATTTTTACCCCAAAATAAAGTGCTTGAACGTTAATGAAGTTTGGAACAGCATACAAGGAAAGAACACTTTGTGGTTTCTGACCTTGTGGTTGATACTAAAAATATTATATGGCAATGTACATTAAAGAGAATATGTCCTGTTTAATCATTTGAAAATCATTACTGTGCTTTGTCTTTTGGCCCTTAAGTTATACTATATTTTTTCCAGAACAAAGTACTTTAAAAAGAATTTTCAGATTCTACTACAAAAATAGAGCTGTTAAATGTCTGTTTTCTTGTAAATACATTGGGGCTAGAACTTTCTTTCTATTAAAGGATGTATCTCCTAAGCAGATTAATTTTCTTTGTCAAACATTGTAGGTAATTCTACAACAGAAATTAGAAGAAATAACAGTAGGTCTAGTCTTTTTATCTATCGGCCTCCAATTTGCCTTCTATCAGGCAAATGTTAAAAATGTTAGAATTTCTTTTTCAAAACTATATATGTATATACTGGTTGAGCCAGAGGGAGGAGTCAAACGGGGAATTAATCTGCATAATCCCTGCATGGGCACAAGTGGGCAAAGTCTGATTCCCCCTTGAATGCTGTTGAACCTTATCTAGTCTTACCTAGGTGCAAACTGTCAGTCTGGCAAGATTCCTATGTCCAGTAAACAGCTAATTGAACTCTTCAGCCATGAACCTGCTTGCTTGCACATGGCAATATGATTTCTAAAGTCATTTCAGGTTCTTCTGTTCACAAGTAGTGGGACTTTTGACTATTGTAATCTCTGCATTTTCTTTTTCAAAATGTCCAACTTTTCTTTAAAAATGATTGGATTAATACAACAAACTAAGCTATTAGATGGTCTATTGCATTTTAGCTTAAGAGGTTATGAATATGGCAACTGTGATTTATTCATGTTTAGGCAAAGTGTAGTTTACTGTGCAATTTTTTCCTCAAATCTCATAACTAAAGACCTTGGAATAGTAACACGTCTTCACTGTCAATCTTTTGGAAGTGACTTGAATGATTATAGAAAGAATGTACATGCCTGAGTTAATAATTTGTAATTCTTTCTACCCACCCATCCTTTGTCTCTTTTTCTTCAGGAGAGAGCTATGTGTGTGGTTCAATAGAGCCTTTTAAGAAGCTGGAGTACACAAAGAATGTAAATCCTAATTGGTCTGTAAATGTTAAGACCACCTCAACTTCCCGTTCAGTGCCCTCTCTAGCCACGGCCAAAGGAAGCCCTGCAGATTCAAAGGAGAACAAGGATTTCATTAGACCTAAACTGGTCACCATCATCAGGAGTGGTGTGAAGCCACGCAAAGCAGTTCGGATTCTGCTTAACAAAAAAACAGCACATTCATTTGAGCAGGTTCTCACTGATATTACTGATGCCATCAAACTTGATTCAGGAGTAGTTAAGCGTCTTTACACACTGGATGGGAAACAGGTAAGATAATTCTTTAAGCTATCAAATAACACATTACACAAAACATAGATTTTGGAGTTACTAAGCTAGTGCTTCTTAGCCCAAATACCTGATAATGTAAATAAAAACATTATCATAACAGAGCCATGCAGAGAAAACCACTAAAATTAGGAGCATAAGTTTTAAAGCTTTAGAAAAGTATCCATTTTTAAATAAAGTTTTCTTGAGGCTGATGTTTGCATGAAAGTAACACTTGAATTACTTAAATCTTTTATAGCTAAGAGCCTACTCTGTGCTCTTCTCCATTTGTGGAGGGGGAAAAAAACCACTGAAATGAAAATCTGAACTACAAAGGTCAGGGACAGAAGAAGTGAGTGGCCAAGGAAGGGATGAAAGCCCTAAGAGGATCTACTTTATCTATCCAATAGGAGACATGCTGTATACAAACATGCAAAGTTCAAAACAGGAGATTGAAATGCAAACTCTCTTGGCTAACTCTACACCTGTTGTCCCTAGTGGTCCATAAGTTCATAAGTACTGTGTAGAAAGGCAGTTCATGCAAAGTTGTATACAACCTGAACTCGATGAGAAATAACCGTAGCTACAGGACAGTCAATTTCATTTTCCCCCCTAAGGAAATAAATTTATATCAAAGTCAAGAGCTTAGTTTTCAAAACCCTTCAATTTTTTTTGCCTGCTTGAGCTGCAAAAACATTTCTCGTGAGACATAATTACCGTACTTCTTTATTATATCCTGCTGAAATAATAGGCTCTGCTGCTTAAGTGTAGCAGACTAAGGAATGGGAGAAAGTTACATCTCTTTGTCTTGAACAGAGACCAGAGGTGGTATTCAGGTTTTGACCAGTTCTGGAGAACCAGTAGCGGAAATTTTGAATAGTTCAGAGAACCGGCAAATACCACCTCTGACTGGCCCCATGCCCATCTATTCTCTGCCTCCTGCTGATTGGCTGGGTCTTCTTTTGTTGTCCTGCACAGGAGAACGGAGCTGGAAAGCAGGTTTGTGGGGTGGGGAGGGAATGGGATTTTACAGTAACCTTCCCCCAGCAGTGGGTAGGGAATGGGGATTTTACAGTATCCTTCCCCTGTCATACCCACCAAACCATGCCCACCAAGCCATGCTACGCCCACCAAGCCACACCCACAGAGCCGGTAGTAATAATTTTTGAATCCCACCACTGACAGAGACGGCTATGTCTGGTGAGTAAACAAAGGCACTTATCAAGCAGAAAATTTAGGCAGTGATTTACTCCTTATCAGGAGTAACTGTTTGGTCAGCTTGTATGTATTCCTACAGAAAGTATGGTTTAAGAACTGATGTTCTATATTCTTAGCCATAATCATTTTATGTCTTACATAGCATTTGAAGTACTCTGATATGTCCCCTGCCCCTAGTTTTTCATATTGTGTATGATTAAAGAGAAAAAAAATCCATAATAAATCCAAAAATTTGTTCCATTTCTGCATATAGTTAAATTTCTACCTCTGGCTCTTGCACAGCATCTAGAACATCCCCAGAACAATTGCTATGCCATATTGCAGATTTCCTAGATAGGATTTAGACATCTTTAAATGTTCTTGATAGAAAATGTACTTTTACGAGGAGCAACAGATAAAACTCCTGTAGTATAATTAATCTGCTTTTCAATCCAAATCTGAGAATAATGTTTGCAGTGTAATACTTTCATGCTCTTTGCTGCATCATATTGCAGTAAATGAAGTTTTCTGTTCATCATTCACAACCTTTTCAAGAACAACAACCCATTCCTTTGTGTCCCTGGCAACGTGTTCAAAATATACTTTCATTTTGAAGAGTTCTAAAAATATTTGCATACCTATTACATTTTTCTTTTTTACTGATTTTTTATGGACTTCAACTTCCATAATTCCTTAGCCATCTATCCACACATCTTCAAGATTGAGAAACACTGCTCTGTAGCCTTAGCAGTCCAAATGAAGAAGTCACAGTAACATTCAAAATAAGATGTGTAACCAAGAAAATGGATCTGGCAGCAGCAGTTTGAGGCTGGTTCTTCTTTTCTCATCCCAACAGTCTCAGTAAGCCTTGCAGCCACAGCTGTGGGCAACACTGTACTTATATAGTCTTTGTCCCCTTCTGTTTGTCTGTGGGGACTTTCCAGATTTGTGCTAGTTTGGCCCTAAAATAGACTTGTTCCATTCACAACTCCATATCTGAAACACCATGGAAACATGGTTCAGAAGGTCCAGGAAAATCCATACTGTTCCTGGGGCGGTTTAGCAAGCATAGCAGTGGTGGGATTCACATTTTTTTACTACCGGTTCTGTGGGCGTGGCTTGGTGGATGTGTCATGGCTTGGTGGGCATGGCGTGGCGGGCGTGGCAGGGGAAGGATACTGACTCTGTGGTTTCTTCCCCAAACCCCAAAAACTTTAACCTTAGACTTTCTACTCACCCCTTTCCTAAGAGGTCTGTAGCATAAGCACACCAACATGCCTACTGTCCCTGTCCTATTGTTTCTTTTATTTTTCTTACATGTATCCATGTATTCATAACTATGTTTTTGCTTATACCTATTATCTTGTAAGCTATCGACAAACCAAATAAATAAATAAATAAATAAAATCCCCATTCCCTCCCCACTCCAGGGGGAAGATTACTGCAAAATCTCATCCCCTACCCACCCCACTAACCTGCTTTCCAGCTCCGTTTTCCTGTGCAGGGCAACAAAAGAAGACCCAGCTGATCAGCTGGGATTTGGGAGGCAGAGAATAGATGGGCGTGGCCAGTCAGAGGTGGTATTTGCCAGTTCTCTAAACTACTCAAAATTTTCCCTACCAGTTCTCCAGAACTGGTCAGAATCTGCTGAATACCACCTCTGAAGCAGAGCAATAAAACAGCTTTTCACTTGAACAAATTAATATAAATCAACACAAATTAAAAATTCAAGGACCCAATAGTACTATAGAGCAAGGCCAAACTAGTTCCTCTTCTTGAGATTTTCATTCATAAGTAGTATTTAGGTCCCGAGGAGACATCTACAGTGCTTTGGCAGTACCTGTTTGATTATGACTGATTAATAATTGGCCTTACGTCTTCTGAATTTTCAATGCACATATAAGTTACTAAGCCAGGAGTATGTAACTTCCATTCATTTGAGTTGCACTGTATGTCACATGGCTTGCTGAGGGGTGAGCTACTTAAAAATGGGCCGAAGCATTTTTCTTTAAATATTTTATTCTTTTTTTTAATGACTCCTAAACATGTTCAAATATTTTGCCATTTTCCTAGTTGGATTCTAGGGCCACCATAAAAGATGCAAGCAGTTAGCACTTCTTACATCTTTAATTTGATCTTCAATTATTCTGTTAAAATAATATGGTTAGATATATCAATACACTGAGGTCATAAAGCACCTTGTATTTCAGTTATAGAACTTGTAAATGTCAAAAGTCATTAAAATATCCTTTTCTATTGTTTCCATCTCTCATCTAAATTTTAAAGTTAAACAATTTAATATCATTGCTAACCAATTGCTAACCAATCTAGTTACCAATGACAACAGAGTAAATACTAAATTTCAGTAAATTTTACCATAGTCTTGAAATTTGAATTTTAAATAAACATTCAAATTGGTATGAAATTTGAATGAATGGCTTCTAAGATTTAATGTGGACTTTCAACAAGTCATGAAGTTAAAAAATAGACAGGACAAGAAGCAGAATACATCATAATCCCATAGAACATCCTGGTGCCCTGGCATCCATAATTATTTGTTCATGTAGAGTCTGATTTTCCTATTAAGTATTACAGCTTGGAAGTATTGCCTTTGAGGCTTTAGGGCATAATAATATCAAGATATTCCATCAAGCAAATGGAAAATCAAACTCAGTCTGGATTGTTTTAATTGTCTTTTCAACTTGAGTTAAGCAGTCATTTTTCTTAAAGCTGGCAGACTGGAAGGACCCCAAGGCCAATAATGGAGTAGTAAGTCATGCTTTTGATTAAAAGAGGAGATGGCATTATTGATTAATCTACAGGCACATATGGCCAAAGTTTCAGACCAGAAATAACAAATCAGGCTTCTTTCAGATTATATAACAGATAATAGATAATCAGAGTTGGAAGGGACCTTGTAGGTCATCCAGTCCAACCCCCCACCCAAGCGGGAGACCCTACACTATTTCTGACAAATGGCAGTCCAATTTCTTCTTGAAAGTCTCAAGTGATGGTACTTCCACAACTTACGAGGGCAAGCTGTTCCATTGGTTGATTGTTCTCTCTGTCAGAAAGTTTATCCTTATTTCCAGGTTAAATCTCTCCTTGTTCAGTTTCCATCCATTATTCCTTCTCTGGCCTACAGGCACTTTAGAAAATCGCTTGACCCCTTCCTCCCTGTGGCAGCCCCTCAAATATTGGAAGACCGCTATCATGTCTCCCCTGGTCCTTCTTTTTTCTAGACTAGCCAAGCCCAGTTCCTGCAACCGTTCGTTGTATGTTTTAGCCTCTGGTCCCCTAATCATCCTGGTTGCTCTTCTCTGTACTTTTTCTAGAGTCTCAACATCTTTTTTATAATGTGGTGACCATATGTGAATTGCTTTGCAAATGTGCCCATAAATAGCTTATCTTTTTAAACTGTGAATAGTTCTTTAGAATCAAGAGGGACAACTGTCCTTTAGGACAAAACTCTCAAGGCACCAACCACATAGTTCAAGATGATGGGAAAAGAACAAAATCTATGGTCAAAGATCAAGGGGCATGTTAACTCTGTAGCATATAAATTACATTTTTTAAAGTTCCGGATAGGTGAACTGGGTCTAATGTATGACAATTTTTCTGTCCCTGTCCCTCAGTTGTTTTATTTCCCGAATCTCAAAATCTACACAGGTTGTAAACACATACTTTAAAAAGGTCCATGTTTTTTATGCCAATAGAAAACTTTTCCTTGTACCATGTATAGTGGATGTGGTGTGTGTTGCAGAGAAAAAGGGATTTTTAAAATGAGGTAACTATGGGCAAAATGT